CAGAGCGGCTCCTCTGCAGAGTGGAGGAGTCGGCCGTGTCCCCCAGCAGCTCCACGTACGGCTTCTCCAGGAAATCCTCTGTCACATCGTCCTCCTCCAGTGTCACGTCCGCACAGTTCGGATCCCGCGGCTGAGCCAGCACCACCATGTGACAGCCGCCGCATCTAGCCTGGACAGGAAACATGCACTTCAACATGTATAAAGAGGAAATTGAGAGGATGTGGAAGGTCAAGGCGAAAGTGGCCCAGGGATGGTAGGAGGAGTAAGAAATGATTTTTTTACATCTGAATTTCAATTAAAATAATCATGAACTTATTTGTGACCCTTATCACATTCTACCTTTGTACTACTTTCCTTTCCAACATCAAAATAAATGAATGAATTGAAAAGTAGAAACGTGCTTGTGAGACACCTACTGCCTGGACTTTGTACTTAAGGAAGCGTGAACACAGAGTTGGTTTGAACTGGTTGGTGAAGTTTTCCTCTCCCAGGCCCAGTTTCCCGTGTCGGCCGTCTCCAAACGTGTACAGCAAACCACCATCTACAGATCAGAACAATGCAATTAAACCAGTGATGACTGTGGGACAGCGATGAAACCAGTGAGGACCTACCAGTGAGGACAGCGGTGTGGTTCTCTCCACAGGCCACCTGACATACCCGGCCCTTCCTGAAGTGGTCCACCAGACGTGGCAGCCGGGACTCGAAAATAAATGTCCCATGACCGAGCTGTCCAAACTGGCCAAGGCCAAACGTGTACACGCTGACATCTGGAGGAGATGAAGACACAAGGTAACTTCATCACTTCTGAACCCTGCACTGGCATCTGATCCATGCAAACCACAGCCACTTCTTTTTACATATGCTGTTGTTATTGGTCTGAATGGTTTTAGGGGTTTTAATGTGTTGGACATGTACCTGTTAGCACCACCGTGTGCCCACCCCCACAGGCCACCTGTGTCACTGGCTCCTTGATGCTCTTCACCAGCTGAGGGACCCGGTGTCCCGGCAGCTGCTCGGTGCCCAGACCCAGCTTCCCACTGTCACGCTCACCAAACGTGTACAGAGCTCCGTCAGCTGAGACACAGAAGAAAACACTACAGCTACAGGTCTGCTCTTTGCTTTGTGTTCTTTCTGAAACATGCTCACTGTACACTGATGTTGGGAAAGGTCCTCCCTCTGGTGCCCTTCACTTCTTTTCTACTAGTACTTGCACAGTAACTCCAGTAACAAAAAGTATGCTAATAGTACTGCAAATGAATGAGTACTTTTACTGCAACAGAACCCAGTAGTTGCACTGCAACTGCACTTCAGTTGGTAGTGTCATATTTCAGTTAGTGATAGCATTAATTCTTCAAGCAGTAGTATTTCATTGGGCAGTAGTATCACAGTTTGCAATACTTGCTCCTGTGGTTCTGGCTGTGTACATTTTTGTCAGTATGTCAAAGATTTAAAAACCTGATTCAAATCTTTCAGGAAAACTGAGACCCAGCCGACAATTAGTATCCTCCACTGAGTTAAATGGGAGGAATGAGGAATTGAGTTTTATAGGTTTCCTGCAGATGTCCCCTTCCGGCATCTGTCGGGTTCAGGTGTGTGCCTGAAAGCTGCTGCTCCTACCAGTGTATCTGCTCACTTGTCACTAAGGCAGAGTGGTAGTATCCACAGGACACCCAGCTGACTGGTCGACCCACAGTCACTTCCTGTGGCGAAGAGGCGTGGCCTTCCTTCCCCAGGCCGATCTGACCCTCGCTGTTGTCGCCCCACATGAACAGCTTGCCACTCTCTGAGATGGGCAGAAGAAGATCCGGCAGTAAAAACACAGATCAAACAGCAATACATATTTTTGAGCATCCTCTTCTTTATACTGTATGTGGCACAACTGTTGGTAGTAGTGTTGCTTTCGTCAACGAAAATTATGACTAAATGACGTCGTCAACGAACCTTTATCGCGTGACGAAAACGAGACGAGACGCAACGAAAAAGCTGGTCATGTGACGATGACTATAATTAAATATATAATGCAATATTGTTGACGATAAAAAAACGAGACGAAATGTTATAACGTTATTTCGTCTCGTTTAGTCGTGTTATTATTATTATTTTGCAGTATTTCTGTTTCCTGTGTCTCGCTTCAGGGGCCGCATCAGACGCGTCGCACTGCGCAGACGTAGGCGACATCACTTCCTTAACCACCGCTCGCGGCATTATTGAGAAGACGACAACAAACAAAGTTAAGTCTGACACAGAGAAAGGGATCGATGGCCGGCCAGTCGGGGTTTGTCATTGGGAGAAAAAGAAGAAACGAGATTTGGAAAAACTTTATTTACATAGAAGTGGAAAATTAAACGGAATTTGTTGTGGAAAAAGATGGGGAGAAATGTGGCCACAAAATAACAAAAAATGTGTATTGGATGTATTCTTGAGTCTATATGGTAACAATAATATAATAAGATAACCTTGTTTGAAATGGGTTTGACTAAAAGAAACGTTTGGTTTCATCTATACTACTAGGTACTTATACTATATTGACTGGGTTAAATAGAATTGCATTACTAAAAAGAGACTAAAATACAATTTTCACTGACTAAAACTAGACTAAAATGTCATCAGTTTTCGTCGACTAAAACTAGACTAGACTAAAAAGAGTATGAATTGACTAAAACTAATAAAAACTAAAATGACAGCATCACACAAAGACTAGACTAAAACTAAAACGAAAACAGGCCGCCAAAAACAACTATAGTTGGTAGTAACCCTGTGACAGACACATTCAGTCTAGTCCCTCAGCTGATGCTTCTCCATCAACTGAAGCATCTATGATGTGTGAATCTCACCCATGAGAGCAGCCGAGGTGTTTGAACCAGCAGCGAGCATTATGATTGGTCCGTGTGAATCGAAGAAACCGACTCGCTCAAAGGCTGTCCTCTCCTCACAGTCGCCAAGCCCCAGCTGACCCTCACCATTCCCCCCGGAGGCGTACACCCGCCCCTGAGCTACAACGAGACAAGACAAATCTTTGAGCCATGTGTTAAATGTGACCTCTGACTGGACCAAAGCACTTGTCTGGTACTGACCTGTGCAGACGAGAGTGTGGTTCCTGCCACAGGCCACAAGCTGAACCTTCTCAGATTTCAGAGCTGTAAACATATGAAAGAAACTTCAATACTTAACATTTATCATCACAAAACCATGAATGCATATTAGTGTCTTCATCAGAGGGTGGAGTGTTCAGACAGGTCTGTCGACTCGTTGGTAGCACCTCTAGGACGTCTAGTCATCATGACGAACACCATGCAACACAGCTGAAAGCCCTGGAAGATGCTCAAAAAGAGGCTTTGAGTCTGAATTGGTTCGGTGTTTGGCTACACTTTGTTATGCAACTGTGGTTCAGTGGGTAGAGCAGTCATCTCCCAACCAGAGGGTTCGGTGCCTGCAGTGTCCTTCGGCAAGACACTGAACCCCCAAGTTGCCCCCGATGGTTAGAGCCATCGGTTGAGTTGGTGCCGCAGTTCTGTACCGGAAACAAATTCCCTATCTGTGTAACATACTTGGCCAATAAAGTGATTATTATTAGTGCCCTGCCAAAACTGTTTACAGTGGAGGTGGGCAGCTGTTGACCTCAACTGGGGGCATCGTCGGACGGTGGAAGGAATACTTCGAGGATCTCCTCAACCCCAGCGTCATGTCTTCCGATGAGGAAGCAGAGGCCGGGGGCTCGGAGGTGGACTCGTCTATCACCCAAGCTGAAGTTACCGAGGTAGTTAAGAAGCTTCTCGGTGGCAAGGCACCGGGGGTGGATGAGATCCGCCCTGAGTACCTTAAGTCTCTGGATGTTGTGGGGCTGTCTTGGCTGACACGCCTCTGCAATGTCGCATGGCGATTGGGGACAGTGCCTCTGGATTGGCAGACCAGGGTGGTGGTCACTCTTTTCAAGAAGGGGGACCAGAGGGTGTGTTCCAACTATAGGGGGATCACACTCCTCAGCCTCCCCAGGGAAGTCTATGCCAGGGTACTGGAGAGGAGAATTCGACCGCTAGTCGAACCTCGGATTCAGGAAGAACAATGCGGTTTTCGTCCTTAATTAAAGGAATCTACTCAACAGAAAACAATACGTTTGTGTTGAGACAATGTACAGTTAACAGATAAGCTCAATCTGTTCAAAGGCAAAACAAGAACAACCTCCGTATATGGAATTAACCTTGGTGTTTTGGTTCTTGTTCATACATTGTATTCATTTTTGATAATCTGCATATTCTGCTAAATTATATAAATGAACATATTTTTCAGATTTGTCACTGTGTGAATAGACTTGGGATAGAGAAATGTAGGGATGGGGAATATGGGAGCGAGTTGGCAGGTGGGCATTGGGGCAATGAACTTAGTCATAATTAAAATTCAAAAACTAAAACACTGATGTCATGTTGTCAACAGGCTCAGATGTGGGCCGATTCAGAAATTTCCACCAATCACTGACCATACCGTAGAAACAGTTTTCTGTGTCTCAGATACTTTAGTGGATAAACACATTTTATTTAAGACCTTACACTAGTAACGTCTAGGGATGGTCTCTTGTCTGGGCTGAAGGCAGCTGTCAGTAGCAGCACTCACACACAATACTCACCGCTTTCACGCTAAGACAGGGAACAGAGACCTATCTAAAGACCAACCTTTGACACGGGTGGGCTTGTTCACGGTCACTTTGGATCCCAGGCCGAGTTGGCCCCAGTTATTGCTGCCAAACACAAAGAGCTTCCCATTTTCTACAGAGACAAAGACAACAGAATCTGAAAGGCTCAGTTTCTCTGGTGCTTTATACTACATCAGTACAGGCTGGCTTTTAAGCAGAAATGTTTGCAAGGGTTGTATGACAAATTAAGCAGAAATGGACCATGTATGGTTGAACTGATTCCAAACAACACATGCACAAAAAAGTAAAAGTTTTCACTTAGAAACCTTAACAGCTCTTACTGGTTATTAAGGCGGTGTGTTCGTCTCCACAGGCTATTTTGAGCGGGACGTCATTTTTAAGCCAGAATTTACTGGGGATGTTGTCAGCAAATTTGCTCTTTCCAAAAGTGAAAACTGCTCCTGATTCTGTAAGAGAAGGAAACATGTGAAGAGGCAAAGTGGAGTAGGGCTGCAACCAGTAAATATTTCACTGATGTTTATTTTCTTACTGTATTGCTACAAAACATCAGCGAAATAGTACAATTTCCATTGCCCAAAACAGTGTCTTTAGATATCTGGTTTTATCAGACCCAAAAATAATTAGTTAACTATCTAGGTTTTGGCATTTCTACAGGAAAGTGTACTTAAGAGAGTTTATTGTTTATTAAGATAGTGGCTGATTAACGTCCTGACAATCAGCTGGTTAATCAGTTCAGTGCTGAACTGCACCAATCCAAACCAGATGAACAGCAAAGTTTAATCAGGCCACCAGGTCATTTAAAAAGCTGGACCTTCACTGGGTTTTCTTCCTTTTATGTCACTACTGATCGGACAAAACTAGAACTTTGTGAACTTTGTTTGAGCTCTGCTAAATTAACTGGGCGCCTACCATCATTTTTGACAGTACCTTCATCTATTATCTGCCGTCTGCGTGTTATGTATAAATTGTGTGACAAGACTGAAACCAAACCAAACAATAACTTCTCGTATACTAAACTAAGTGATATTATCATGATGCAGAAATATAAGGATAATTATAAAACACTGGCGTTCAATATTCGACCTGGCGCAAGACATCACGTTTAAAAAAAACTTCAAGTTCTTCGCAGTCAAGGAACAATTGAAATAAAAATATAAATAGCAATTACACAAACCCAGTCTGGAGGATTAATCAACCTGAATACATTAAAATCTAATATATTAAACCGAAGAATGTAAACTAAAAGGTTGCTCTCCCGTTAGCCAGCCAGCTAAAGCAGAAGCTAACCAGAAGTAACGAGACCGCTAATTGGCATTTTAAAGTGAAATGAATGTTTAACGGACGTGATAAAGTAAAGAACAATGAGCTCCTTGTGCTTATTGACCTGGTATCTCGTCCTCAGCCTCTCCTGCCATCTCTGCGAACTTTAATCCGCTTTGCTCTGTGCTGCGGGCGTGTTACTATCCCTCTTGTTTTCGGCTTCGAGAACCCGGAAGTAAACAAAACGTCTCCTAGGTTACGACGTTAACAACGTGACCCTTAAAGGGAAAGTATGTTATTTTTAAAGACAAGTACAGTGTTATACAGTGTTAAACGGGCTACTGTATATAAATAGAGTTTGTGGTACTTGTACTTCGAATATTTCCATTTTATACTTTTACTCCACTACATTTCAAAGGGAAATATTGTACTTTTAAGATCACTGCATTTCACACATTTAAAAAAATCCACATCCAAAAACTGGAAACAGATTAGTTAATCTCTGATTAATCATCTCACAGCCCCTCTGATTTACCTGATGACCTGTTGGGGGACCCAACCAATACACTGGTAACCACTGGACTAAACTGACTGTATATGAAGTAGTTAAAACTAACTTCACCTCAAGCAGCAACAGCAGCAAAATGCTGCCCAACCATTGATGCATGTCAGCATTTTAACCCTCATGAACCTCCATGAAGAAGAGAAGCTTTATGGCAGAGCAGAGAAATAAATCTTTCAGTCCATTGAAAAAAAATATCAGCAAGCATTTTATATAGACCAAACCATTAATTTCTCAATTGATTAACAGAGAAAACAATCTGCAGAATAATCATAATAAAATCACTCCATCACTGTCTGGTTTGGCTGAGCAACCAAACAGGACAAGTGCGGACTTCAGCAGAGAGTCAGGACTGCAGAAAAGGTCATTGGTGCAAGCCGGCCCTACATGGTGGAGCTGTACACCTCACGGGTCAAAAGGAGGGTGGAGATGATCACTGCAGACCCCTCACACCCTGGACACAATCTGTTTGAACTCCTCCCCTCTGGACGGCGTTACAGGTCACTGTGCACCAAGACAACCAGGCACAAGGATAGTTTCATCCCCTGGGCCATGATAGTATGACTGGACAATAACCCTCAGTGCAATACCTGCAAATATACATTGTACAGATTATACAGATCTGTACAGGTCTCTATTTTTAAGTACTCCGTTTTTATTTCTATTGTCATTTCAATGAGCATTCTTTTATCTGTCTGCATTGTTTACTGCTCGTTTATACTGTTTATTTTGCATTGTTTGCACGGTTTGTTGCTTGTTAATACTGCTTATTTTGTTATATTACACAGCCTTATGCTGGTTTACTGTTTACTTGCCCCTTGCATGGGGATATGTACATGCACATTGAGAGCCAATGTACCAGAGTCAAATTCCTCGTGTGTCCGACACACCTGGCCAATAAAGCTAATCAGATTAACAGTCAGTTGCGTGTCTAATTTACTTTAGGACTGTTTGTTTAGTCTGTATTACAGTTGTTTAGGTGCACATAATAAACTGAGCATATATAAATGAGAGGAAAGAAACATTTTGACAATATTTTTAATATATACAAAAGAACAACTGTTTGTGCATTTCTACTTAGATAGAGAGAACATGCAATGGATGCCCCAGTGATCACTGGTGTAGCGGCCACACTTGAGCTTCTCCAGCCCTACCAAGGCCATGCTCTCAGGCTCCAGCCATGGGACGCCATCCTTGGTAGCCCGGCGCAAGTACACCCGGTCAAAGCGGAAGCGGCTCTTGAACCTCATATCCTTGTTGGTGTTGGCCACGGTGTCCCATGTGAAGCGGCAGTGCTCTGGCTGGTTCAGCTGCTCCCACACATCACAGACGCAGCTGGGGAGGCCTACCTGGGCCACCTAGGACGGAATGGGAGCACCAGAAACAGACGTGGTTCTGAGACACATTTTCCACCAAGAACAACTTGCTTTGTGCTGTCTCATTCAAGTGAGCCCCCACCTGGGTCCATCTCTACTTTCACCTGTGCACCAGAATACCACAGAGGGACAAAGCGAGTTTTAAGGTCAGGCAAGTACAACTGTGTGCAAACAGTTGATACTGTGTGGACGTGAAATTCTGACAGCACCACCGGCCGCCACATGTTGGAGATTTTGTAGTCATAAACAAAACTATTTTATGTCCACCTACCCCACAACCTACTCTAATATAGTTAATTGGCTTCAACGTAACACTCGGCTTCTCCTGTAGACACTAAGCTTATTAGCCGGACATGCTAATAATGTAGCTTATGTTACAAGAGATAATTCATTCCTTACATTTTCGAGCTGAGTTCTCCTTTAGGCCATGCAGGTGATTTTATGAGTACCACACACACAAAAATAACTCTCCATGTTGGAGAGGACAGAGAAAACATCTCAACAGAAGAGACAATACCTCAGCATCCCTCAGGTTGGTGTCCCCCCCAAACAGGACAGTAACGTTATCAGGTGCTTTGCTCATCATCTTCATCACCCATCGCAGCTGTTTCATCCGCTCCTCTGCGTTGTTCTTACAGCTCTCCAAATGGGACGTCATCAGCCAGAGTTCCTGGCCTTTGAACACTACCTGATTTTTGAAAAATTAATACATCAGGTGCAGGTAAAAGTTGCACCAGACCAGACTTGTATCTCTTGGCTGTGCACCAACCTGAGCGACAAGCAGGTTCCTCATCATGTGAGAGGTTTGGTAGGGGATAATCTTACTGCGCAGCAGAGTGACTCGGGACTGCTTCAGCATCATCCCAGTGAAGTAACCTAACTTACCACCTGATCGGCACCAGAAACAGAGGAAAGGTTCAGATTATACAGCAAATTATTCTGCAGAACAACAAAATAACTTGAAGCAGCAGAATAAATAGCATTTACTTCACTTATTGTGTCAAAATTTGTAACTTGGTCAAATCTGAACACTGAGGTGTGGTACATTTATTTACACACACATCAAGGTGACATGCATTTCCTGAGGATATCACAAATAAACATTTGTAAATCCTGTCAGAAAAGTGCTCCTTTTAACTCCAGAACCTGCCTGAAAATCCTCGTTTTTAAGTTTCCTTCAGTATCAGTTATCCAGTGATACAGTGCCTTGTGAAAGTATTCGGCCCCCTTGAACTTTGCGACCTTTTGCCACATTTCAGGCTTCAAACATAAAGATATAAAACTGTAATTTTTTGTGAAGAATCAACAACAAGTGGGACACAATCATGAAGTGGAACGAAATTTATTGGATATTTCAAACTTTTTTAACAAATAAAAAACTGAAAAATTGGGCGTGCAAAATTATTCAACCCCCTTAAGTTAATACGTTGTAGCGCCACCTTTTGCTGCGATTACAGCTGTAAATCGCTTGGGGTATGTCTCTATCAGTTTTGCACATCGAGAGACTGAAATTTTTGCCCATGCCTCCTTGCAAAACAGCTCGAGCTCAGTGAGGTTGGATGGAGAGCATTTGTGAACAGCAGTTTTCAGTTCTTTCCACAGATTCTCTTTCAGCTCATACAAGGAGAAGACTGATCAGAGATGCAGCCAAGAGGCCCATGATCACTCTGGATGAACTGCAGAGATCTACAGCTGAGGTGGGAGACTCTGTCCATAGGACAACAATCAGTCGTATACTGCACAAATCTGGCCTTTATGGAAGAGTGGCAAGAAGAAAGCCATTTCTTAAAGATATCCATAAAAAGTGTCGTTTAAAGTTTGCCACAAGCCACCTGGGAGACACACCAAACATGTGGAAGAAGGTGCTCTGGTCAGATGAAACCAAAATCGAACTTTTTGGCAACAATGCAAAACGTTATGTTTGGCGTAAAAGCAACACAGCTCATCACCCTGAACACACCATCCCCACTGTCAAACATGGTGGTGGCAGCATCCTGGTTTGGGCCTGCTTTTCTTCAGCAGGGACCGGGAAGATGGTTAAAATTGATGGGAAGATGGATGGAGCCAAATACAGGACCATTCTGGAAGGAAACCTGATGGAGTCTGCAAAAGACCTGAGACTGGGACGGAGATTTGTCTTCCAACAAGACACTGATCCAAAACATAAAGCAAAATCTACAATGGAATGGTTCACAAATAAACATATCCAGGTGTTAGAATGGCCAAGTCAAAGTCCAGACCTGAATCCAATCGAGAATCTGTGGAAAGAACTGAAAACTGCTGTTCACAAACGCTCTCCATCCAACCTCACTGAGCTTGAGCTGTTTTGCAAGGAGGAATGGGCAAAAATTTCCGTCTCTCGATGTGCAAAACTGATAGAGACATACCCCAAGCGACTTACAGCTGTAATCGCAGCAAAAGGTGGCGCTACAAAGTATTAACTTAAGGGGGCTGAATAATTTTGCACGCCCAATTTTTCAGTTTTTTTATTTGTTAAAAAAGTTTGACATATCCAATAAATTTCGTTCCACTTCATGGTTGTGTCCCACTTGTTGTTGATTCTTCACAAAAAATTACAGTTTTATATCTTTATGTTTGAAGCCTGAAATGTGGCAAAAGGTCGCAAAGTTCAAGGGGGCCGAATACTTTCGCAAGGCACTGTAGTCTGTACATCCGTGGGTACACTGAATACAGGAGCTGCTAGAAGCCTTTTCTGCCTACTTTACTGGGGAGGATTTGTCAAATGTGAACAAATATAGGCTCAAAGTGGAGTGCACAGTACTTATACACAATAGTTCCAAATCCTATGGAGCACTGTTACAGTACATATACCTTCAATGAAAGTGTAGTCGGCAGCTAGACGGTTGTGCAAGAAGCGGACATAGGGTTGGACGACCTCCTGAAGAAGCACCACGTCAGGAGAGTACCTACATGGAACAAAGAGAACAGTTCAAATGGCTCTGTCCAAGATAAATGATTAACCCTTACATCAGCAATATTTTGCCAATCATAACAGTGGAACTGACAAAAAATTCACTCAAATGCTTTATTGGAGCCATGAGATTTCTATTGCCGCTCAACACAACAGAGGAGAGTCACATTTAATTGTGCTGCTCATGACAATTAAAAACATCAAGCGAAACCTGTCTTTCCAGAATCTGATACTCTACGAAGTAAATGACTTTAGGCTGGTTCAACTTAAAAACATAACTTCTCTGCCATCTTCAAAATGCAGTTTCACTGAATTTAGGCTGAATCATTAGCTCCAGGTCCCTCTGTGATTTAAGCTCACTGAACTTCAGAAAACAAGCTTAGTAAACCCAAGATATTATCTTGTGTGCCACACAACATGTTCTCTGTAATTCATGTGAACTGACCCTTTAGCACTGACTCATAATACTGTAGGACACGCTCACTTGCTTAAACAGGAGCAGAGGCCTCGGGCTCTCTCTGGCTGTTGCTCTCCATCAAGCCCATCCACATTCCAGGTGATCAGAGACAGCTTTTCCTCACCTTTCTCTACAACTTTTTCTTTGGTTTCCACTGGCTCACTGCTGCACGACGCTTCCTCAGCCTCAGTGTTACTGGAGAATTTTGAGAGCACATAATACAGATTGATTTGTTACATCAGCAGCACATTAAGCTACCAACACAGTATATCAGTGGAGTTACCTGTTGCCTGTGGTGTTTTCCTCCTTTCTGAGGGACGAGGGGCTCCCGTTTTCTGGTGTCTCCATGGCTGCGTCCAAAACCGCCTACTACCATACAGTACTGTATAGTAGGCGAAAAGCAGTAGTTGAGGCCAGTAGTATGTCCGGATTCGTAGTATTCCAAAAACAGTAGGCGAAAAGTATCCGGATGACCTACTGCTTCCGGATGGACACTTCACTATCCCATGATGCCCCAGGAGAGGAGTTATCCAACGAAGAAGACGCTGCTATGAAAACGTATGTCACGTGATGTATCAACATGGCGGATGTAGTACGTCCGAATCTCATTCATACTACCAGGCTTCATACTATACAGTACCTACTGTTTTAACGGTCAGTAAGTAGGTACTTCATCTCTTTCAGTACGTACTGTAACAGTATGCGGTTTCGGACGCAGCCCATGTCTCAAAGTGAGAAGGTGTTGCTGATTTGTAGTGGTTTTCTCCACATATGAAATGTGTTACTCACCAAAGCCAGGTTTCTACTTCAGCTGGCATGTAAGGGCATGGCACTTAAGTTATAGTTGGAACACATCATGTGACACCGAGGGAAGTAAGGCCAAAGTCTGCTGTCTAGACGGCACACCCAAATCACATGGCAGTAGAAATGATTTGAGTGACAATCCATGCACACACTCCTAGTACCAGCACATTACATCTGATGGGCCCTGGGAACCGATCTGTGCGCAGATTCTCACAGAGATAGTTTTTCTTACTGGTGACCCCTCGAGGGCTACGTACATTAAGCTCAGAACTTCAGTGTAATGAAGTTCGTTTGGCAACTTTTCTTTGAGGTCATTTTATTTTTAGTCAGCTTAACTTTAGTTTTATATTTTGATAAAATCTACATAAGTGAAAAAAAAGTTCATGCAAATGGTTTCAACCATGAATTTAACTAGTAAATGAAATGTGCAGGAGATGCAGCGCCCGCAGGTTTAGTTTGACCATGGGGCCACAAAGAACGATCAACATGTGACCATCTGTAGATATATTTTCTATTGACATTTGCAAAAATTCATTTCCAAGTGCAACAAAAGCTTCCTGATGGACAAACATTACTACTCTGCTCCATGTGATTCACAGAAAATTAATCACAAGTACACATTTCAGTTGATTAATCATTTCTTTATTTTCCCACAACAAATGCAAAAGTTAAATGTGAAGAGTTTTTCTTTGACAAAAACTGATGACCTCTGAGTTTTAACTAACTGAGCTTCAAAACAAGTATTAATCTGATCATGGGGTCAGACTGCAGATCAAAGAACTTTCAGGTCTTTAAAAGGACTTCAAGAACAAAACAAATAAAGCAGGAAACTAACCCAGTGGAATGTGGAAAATTAAAAATCGAGTCCATCACTGCTGCTTCACAATTACACTTTGGCATTTCTCTCTGGGAACACTGCACTCATGGAACCACAACAAGCCACACGCATTTCGGTGACCTAGTACTCCTCGCCTTCCTCTGCTCCATCCTCAATGCTGTCAGTGCCCACCTCCTCGTAATCCTTCTCCAGGGCGGCCATGTCCTCCCTGGCCTCGGAGAACTCACCCTCCTCCATCCCCTCTCCGACGTACCAGTGGACGAAAGCCCTCTTGGCGTACATCAAGTCGAATTTGTGGTCAAGGCGAGCCCAGGCCTCGGCAATGGCGGTGGTATTGCTCAGCATGCACACGGCCCTCTGCACCTTGGCCAGGTCTCCTCCAGGGACCACAGTGGGTGGCTGGTAGTTGATGCCCACCTTGAAGCCTGTGGGACACCAGTCCACGAACTGGATGCTGCGCTTTGTTTTTATGGTGGCGATGGCAGAGTTGACGTCTTTGGGCACCAGATCACCACGGTACAGGAGGCAGCAGGCCATGTATTTTCCATGGCGGGGGTGGCCTTTTGTCACAGGCACCGTCAAAACGCAGGGAGGCGGTGATGGAGGAGACTATCTGTCCGATCAACCTGTTGAGGTTGGTGTAGGTGGGACGCTCAATGTCCAGGTTCCTGCGGCAGATGTCATAGATGGCCTCATTGTCAACCATGAAGGCACAGTCAGAGTGCTCCAGGGTGGTGTGGGTGGTGAGGATGGAGTTGTAGGGCTCCACCACAGCGGTGGACACCTGAGGAGCTGGGTACACTGCAAACTCCAGCTTGGACTTTTTGCCGTAATCGACAGAAAGACGCTCCATCAGCAGAGAGGTGAAGCCAGAGCCGGTCCCTCCACCAAAGGAGTGGAAGATGAGGAACCCCTGGAGCCCTGTGCACTGGTCAGCCTGGTAAAGAAATGGTTGCAATATCAAGTTAAATGGATGAACACCGTTCTCAATTTAAACCACCACAATTCAAAACACATTGGGAGAATGTTAACTCACCAGTTTCCGAGTCCTGTCAAGAACCAGGTCAATGATCTCCTTGCCGACTGTGTAGTGACCACGGGCGTAATTGTTTGCTGCATCCTCCTTTCCAGTGATCAGCTGCTCTGGGTGGAAGAGCTGGCGGTAGGTTCCTGTTCGGACCTCATCTGAGGAGCAAAAAAAAAAAAAAAAAAAAAAAATTTTGGTTTACACTAATGCCCAATTTCACTTCATCTCACAAGCTGAACCCCTGATCAAACTGGATTTAGACACCTGTGTAGCTGCTACTAAGAACATCTTCATAGTCTTTTGAACCAGACACAAATACATTAACAGTATTTAAAAAGAAAAAAGAAAGCTCATGGCACCGGTCATTACCGATGACTGTCGGCTCCAGGTCCACAAACACAGCTCTGGGAACATGTTTGCCAGCTCCAGTCTCACTGAAGAAGGTGTTGAATGAGTCGTCACCCCCTCCAATGGTCTTGTCGCTGGGCATCTGACCGTCTGGCTGGATGCCATGCTCCAGGCAGTACAGCTCCCAGCATGCATTGCCCATCTGGGCGCCGGCCTGGCCGACATGCATAGAGATACACTCCCGCTGCAGAAGGAAACAGAAACATCAGTTCTTAACTCTTCTAAACAGCTGCTATCCTGTTTGTGAGCCTGCACCATGAAAACAGCGAAGGGGTGACACGTTTGTTTCCACAGCTCCTCATCTGACCTAGATCACACAGCATCATTTAACCTGGTTCAAGTTTATAAAAAGTAACTGACAATACAACAGCATGTGAAATTAATGACGAGCTTCCAGTGTCACGAAGCTGGGAAACTAGTTTTCACCAAACTGAGTGACAAAAGGTTACTTTATTTCCAGAGTGAAAACTGTCTGGTCTTTGTTTCAGTCTCCTTAAAGACTAGTAGAAGGACATTTCCACCTGGTACCCAATAATATCGTTAAACTCAATGGATAACTACTATCACATCAACTTATCTCTGACATGCTAGATGAATATCAAGGTTACAATGTGTGAGCACAAGGCAACACTGGAGCTTATCTTAAAGTACAACACGATACTTATTTTCATATTGACTTATACAATTGTGTGATATGTAAATAATGTGTCTGTCCTTTAGGCTGAGAGCTGCCGGAAAACATTTCATTGTGCTATGCATAATGACAATAAAGATTCTTGACTTGACTTTTACATCTCGGCTTCTTGGATGAAGTATGTATTTTTTGAACATCACAAATTATACAAATTCAACTTTTAATGACAACTAAAGAGATGTACTACAAATTTCAAAATAAAACACCTTGTACACATCAAGACTAAAACATGCCAACAGATTTCACTAAGATGGTTTGTTTAAAGCACCAATTTCTGCACAAATACAAGTAGCTCTCAGATACAATCAACTAGTAAATATAAGCATCAGCCTCAATAATTTGGTGTCAGCCTTGCAAGTACTCAGGCAGGAACACAAGGCCATCCCTAGCCTCAGGTGATGACTCTGCTACATGCCGAGTCACGTGACCGGCTGCCGCATGTCTGCGCTGCCCACACCCCGCCACCAAAAGACAGGAAGTAGTGTGACGACACGCATACAAGCAGGAAGAGATTCTGCTCTCAGGCCCCACTACGTACACTGTACATCTTTATGTAACGTTCACGGACAGGGCGTTATCGGATGGCGCCTTTCAAAAATTTCACTCTGTCGATACACTTAATTAGGCAATGGGCCATAGAGTCTACCAAGAACCATCTGAATTATCTTTAACGTTAGGTGGACAAAAACCAATCTATGAGCAGTTTATTCTCACCAATTTTATTTGAAACTGCGCCAGTAATCTGGCCTCGTTCCACGTCACTTTACAGTTAACTACAAGTTCAAATTACGCAGCCATGTGGAAACATACCCAACAATTTATTAATGATTAAACACTATTAAAACGGATTTTACACAATTCTAAACATATTATTCGCCTTACATATAAACTACGACAATACAGATCTTCACATTTCGTTCATTTTACGAAAAACACACCAGACAAATCCTCTCTTACTTTAAAAACAAAGTGTCAGTTTACCCATATTTTAAAGGTTTGACGAACATTTTATAAACGTATTTCCGCCGCAAAACTCACCATTTTTTTGTTTTTTTTACTGCTTTGTCCTTCTTTCCGACTCTAAGTATCGGCTGCTGAAGGCGGTAGTGAGAAGAAGACGTGAGGCGGGATTATTTATACATTATACAGAGGGGCGGGGACAAAATGACGTTGTGAATTTACGTCTGTTTTGTAACAATTTTATTGGTGAAATACATTCATCTGTTTAATTTGCTTGTGTTACTGCAGATACATCCACTACAACAATACGTATGCATAACGCTCAAATGTAAACCTCTTTATTTGACATCACTGCAAAGCTAACAAAAACCACAGGCTCTATATTCCCTATACATTAGTTCTGGAGCCGGTTATTACTGCTGCACTACCTGACTGCCACAACTGTCTCCGGCTGTTGTCATCAGTTTCACAGACAGGGCAGGAGGGGCAAAGAGAAGCAGAGGGAGAAGAGGAGGGGATACTGCTTGGCTAGCATGTTTGTGACATATGTTACCAACAGAGGAGTAAATTATCAGTTTTTTTAACACACAGAGGATCATTTGCCAGTAATTTTGTGGACTAGAGCATTTAATTCAATCAATGCAAATATAAAAGTGTAACACATGATCACCTCTCATTGATTCATATGTAATCAAAGATCAAAGATCTTTTTTATTGTCAATTCACTATATATGCAGGACATACAGAAAAATCAAGATACTGCTTCTTTCCCACCTAATGCCCATACCATTTAAGAAACTATAAAATAGAATAAAAGTAGAATAAACACAGAATAAATAGAATATGAAAACTGAATTAAAGTAATAAGGACAAACTAAATGGTACAACCTAATAGACTATGAAGAAACTCAAAGCCATGTGTAAACAGTGACCGTAGTGAAAATAATAACAAGAAGATTGTCAGGTGGTTAGCATCACCAGGGGCCTTGGTGATGAGATGCATAATAGCTTATGAAATGTAATAAAGAGTGAACCCTGAAATCTATTCCTAGCACCATGAAATAATCCAGATATAATCCTTAGATAATTTGTTAGGTAATGTATTGAACATGGCTGTAAGGAGGAATTAAATGTTCTAATCAAGGAGATGACGTGAGTTAATGAAGTTAAAGCACACCAACAGAAACATGACACAGTTTATTATTTAAAGGTCAAAGACACAGTAGGAAAGACAAAGACTGCATACATTTGTATTGTAACAGTGGCTAAATGTCACAGTTGCTTGCTGCCAACAAACTGGTTGAGTTTCACACAAGAAAAATTGCATTTAAAATTTCAGTAAATGTACTTTTCCTTTACAAAATAAATGTCCAATAAAAATGAGTGAGTAGTAGACCATGTCTAAAAGCTGGATTGAAAGTCAGATGATTGTGTAGTCTAGTTTGCTAGAAGCACTGTCACACCTAAAGATTCTGATCATTGTTGATTTTGTTTATTTCATATTTTAATATTCCTCCCCTTCTTCCTCTCCTTCATCCCCAATACTGTCAGTGCCCACCTCCTCATAATCCTTCTCCAGGGCGGCCATGTCCTCCCTGGCCTCGGAGAACTCACCCTCCTCCATCCCCTCTCCGACGTACCAGTGGACAAAGGCCCTCTTGGCGTACATCAAGTCAAATTTGTGGTCAAGGCGAGCCCAGGCCTCGGCGATGGCGGTGGTATTGCTCAGCATGCACACGGCCCTCTGCACCTTGGCCAGGTCTCCTCCAGGGACCACAGTGGGTGGCTGGTAGTTGATGCCCACCTTGAAGCCTGTGGGACACCAGTCCACGAACTGGATGCTGCGCTTTGTTTTTATGGTGGCGATGGCAGAGTTGACGTCTTTGGGCACTACATCACCACGAAATAACAGGCAGCAGGCCATGTATTTTCCATGGCGGGGATCGCATTTCACCATCTGATTGGCTGGCTCGAAGCAGGCGTTGGTGATCTCTGCAACTGATAATTGCTCATGATAGGCCTTCTCAGCTGAGATCACTGGGGCGTAGGTGGCCAGAGGAAAGTGGATACGAGGGTAGGGCACCAGGTTAGTCTGGAACTCTGTCAGGTCTACATTCAAGGCACCGTCAAAACGCAGGGAGGCGGTGATGGAGGAGACTATCTGTCCGATCAACCTGTTGAGGTTGGTGTAGGTGGGACGCTCAATGTCCAGGTTCCTGCGGCAGATGTCATAGATGGCCTCATTGTCAACCATGAAGGCACAGTCAGAGTGCTCCAGGGTGGTGTGGGTGGTGAGGATGGAGTTGTAGGGCTCCACCACAGCGGTGGACACTTGGGGGGCTGGATAGATGGCAAACTCCAGTTTGGACTTTTTGCCATAGTCGACAGAGAGACGCTCCATCAGCAGAGAGGTGAAGCCAGAGCCGGTCCCTCCTCCAAAGGAGTGGAAGATGAGGAACCCCTGGAGCCCTGTGCACTGGTCAGCCTGCAGAATGACAGCATATCAGAATTCCTTCCCTACTGGATCACACTCTGAACTAAAATATGGAGTTTTTGCAGGTAAACACACCAGTTTACGAATCCTGTCAAGAACCAGGTCGATGATCTCCTTGCCAATGGTGTAGTGACCACGGGCGTAGTTGTTTGCTGCATCTTCTTTTCCAGTGATCAGCTGTTCAGGGTGGAAGAGCTGGCGGTAGGTTCCTGTGCGGACCTCATCTGTAATCAGAATACAACCCGTATTCACATTCAACCTCCAGCACAAATGAGCATCAGAAAAACCTGCCCTTACCTGCAGGATATGGTTCTTATTACCATTGCTAACTCTGAGAGACGAGACAGTCCAAGTAACTTCAAAACAGTGCTGATTTATTCAAAGGATCACAGGTAAAATTAACATTACACGCTCAGGTATCTTGCACCTCCAAACTGCTCGCAGGCAGATGTAAGATGAAAGACCCTGAACCCACCAGGCCTATACATTATATCCCCTCGGTTGGGCTAGCCCCATACTACACAGAAAC